TTCCTTCAACGAAGTTTAAAGTTCTTCCCTACAAGTTCCCATTCATTCCTGTTTGACGCATGCGTTTCGAAATTTCTGGTTGATCAAATCAGTGATTTGTCCCATATGTATATCTTAAAGGTCTTCAAATCCCTAGCAATTTATTAGTAAAACTAAGACAATTGCACTCAAGTTATGAACCTAGATTACATATATATTTTTTTACACATCTGACTGTGCACGACCTTGAATCAATCCATCCATAAAGCTTGTCATTACTATTTAAGGAAAATTAGTTTTAACATAACATAAACAAAATTAAAGGTGGGTGGAGATAAGCAGCATTTTATCTAATTTCCAGTGCCCCCTTTTTAAGCAGGTAATCCATGAGTTACACATGTGAAAAATACAACAATTTTCTCCAAGCAACTCTCCTAAAAAATCAGCAATGGCTCACCAAGTCTGGGCTTTGTTAATGTAGAGGCTGGTAAAGAAATCTATTGACTTTCACCATTATTAGTAGTATGTGATTTGCAGGCTGTGCCTGGGAAGCTAATCTCAGGCAAAACCGATCTTGTCAGTCTTGGCAGTGCTCAGTATTTCTCACATAAAATGAGAGGTCTTCATCCATTCTCAGTTATGAGCCTAAGGACTACTGTGGGCTTTTAATACATAAAAATAATCTTTCTTCAAGTCTTCAAAGCGATTCCTTTTAAAAAGAGTCTAAGGTTATTTTATTTTCCAGCAGATTGTGCCAAATATTGAATGCTTCCCTACCACCTGTTTTTTCTTCCTTTTCTAATCTGCATATGCTCCACTCCCATTCCTGTGGATTATTATTCTACATATTCCTTTAATACCAAGTTTCATGTCTCGTACTAGAAGGTTTTCTCACTCCAGTTGATTAGACCTTTGCAGAAAGTGTACAAACATACCATTGGTTTTTGTGTTCGTCACACCCAATTGCCTACTCCAAGTAAATCCAGTCCTCTGCTCACCACACTTACTTGGCCACTGTTCTAAGAAATAGTAATAATACTCCTTCTCCTCATTTTCAGGTCACAGGATGGTAGGCACCTTTTAATCATTTCTATAGGTTTATCCATATGATTTTCATTTGCTTATGTAATGAAACCAAGTGCAAAGACTATATAATGAGGTCTTACTTCACAGCTGAGTTTACAAACTTCTATCAGTCACATTAGCCTTGATATAAAACGGTTGATATATTGGTGGACTCAAATAAATTAAAAAAAAAAAAAAAAAAAAAGTTTTCCTTCCTGGATTCTTCCCAAATGGTGAACTGAAGGAAGAAGGTCTTAGAGCAGACATCCCAGAGATGGCTAAAGAACTGCTCGCTCACATCACAATCTTTATGCCCTTCCTCTAGAGACCGGAATTCTTCCAAATGTCACCTGAGCCTTCCTCTGTCTGAGAAACTGCCCTCCTGTGATGTAGCTACTTTTAACCAATTTTATCTTGCTATTTGTCCAATGAAAGCAGAGGAGGGGGGAAAAAAAAATCGCTTGATCACAAAAATCACTAAAAAAAAAGAATCGCTTTTGCACCACTACTTCTAGAACCTTTTCAGCCTTGGTTTCATACCTGGAATACAGCACACCTTCCTTCTCCACTCTGATAGCAGAGCTGTCAATCAGTGAGTGCTCTGCTCTTACGTAGCCACAACTACCTGGCTGCGGCCAGAATGCTCTGTCCTTTTCCCCTTCTCTCTTCCTTTGATCTGTGCGTTGCATTTCTATTTCCTTGGGCTGCAGTCCCTGACTAGGATGAAGAGCAGGGACCAAAAGTGCAGTAGCCTGCAGAAGAAGCTTAATCACACACCAGCGCCCCAAAGAGTGATGACAAAGCAAAACCAACATGGAGTCATTTCTGTATATAAAGCACTAAAGTGACATTATATATCATCGACTGGTAGGCCTGGTCTTTCCAATCAGCACTGCCTCCTGATGCAATAATTTTAAAAAATAAAAACCAAAACAAGAAAAAGGAGGGGGGAGTGGGGGCAGAGAGAGAGAAGATAAATCCATACAGGTCCCCTTTTCAAGAGCTACTGATACCAGGAAAGAAAACCCCACAGATTTCTCTTTTGTACCATAAGAAAAGAAGTCAGTACAAAGGAAGAAGCAATTTGGAAAAATGGGAAAGTTACCTTTGTATTTTCTAAATCCTTAGAGGGTAGGAGAGATTGAAGTTGCATCAATATATGAACTTAAACAGTACGGTAAAAATAAATGGTAGCTCAGATACTAGCCAGCCAAAAAAGAAAAATCACATTTCACTGAAAGCCCACTAGAAGCAGATTAATTAAACCAGGAGATAGAACTGTACTTTGCCTATTCTTTGTCATGTATAATGTAGTGAAATCAGTGTTTTTAATATTAGTACTATTTTTATCCTTGTTTCAACAACAACATTGCTAAAAGTGCAAAATTACAACTATTTATATGTAGCATTACTGCTACTTATTCAGGAGGCAGAACTACAGCACTAACCCCTAGAAAGAATGTTATTCCATTACTCACTCAAGTAATAAATTCATGTCAATCTGGGAGTCTGAAAGAGAAAGGAATTACCAAAAAAGACAGGCTATTCAGAAACAAATACAGAGCAATTTTTAATCATTCCGTAAGATTAGCAAAGTTTTCTACAAGCCCTGAAGAGTGTATTAAGACTATTTTTCCTAAAAGGTGCATGTAATGGAAGCTGAAGTTGTGTTGCTTGATGAATGGTCTTTTCATTTCTTCTTCCTTATAAAACTGATTTTCAATAAAAGAAGTTATGTGTTTCCTATACGTAAAAAAATGTATGGGAGTGTACAAGCCCCTCCCAGCAACGAACTCAGCAATGTGAACTCTAGGCTTTTAGTTCATGCTTTAAAATATATCCTTTATTAGAAGTATTTAAAGTCTGGAGGCAAAAATAAAACCATGACAAAATCCTGGCTTACATTTCTGTAATTTGATCTCACCCTATTTTTGGAAGTATGTCAAACTTTTTTTAAGTACTTCTGGGAAAATAAAAGCTTAGCATTCCTATTGTTAACACAAAAGCTGAATTTTGGTTATTACATAAAGACCAAAATGATCTGTCATCGCCTTAAGCAACATAATTTTAAAAATAAGGTCAACATTGTGTAATTTATCTGGCTGACCTTACTCCTTTTTTTTTTTTTTTTCATAATTGTATACAAATTAAGTTTTACATGAAGTTCCAGGTCATTCACACCATGTCCAAATTAACTTTATAAAATGACCCTTTTCGGAGCATTTTTTTTATCTTCATCGCACTTCTGAGGAAAGGTAGAAGACTCCCTCGTGCAACTCGCGTATCGTATTCTCACTGTATTAAACATATGATATGCTACTCAACATGAATTGAGTACATTTAACCTTATAATTGGGTTTTTTTCCGTAAATTTACTTTAAAAGGGCCAACTGTAACATTTCTGCCCCCAAACACTGTTCGACTATCAAACAATCCACAGGCTTCACTGGGATGTGAGAGAAGTGTCAGGCGAAAGAGAAGACAACGGCACTGATGGGCAGACTTACAGCACCAGTTATTTCTTCAGACTCAGTATTTACGTTCTCGTTTGAGGGCCACAAAGTTACAGCATGTGTACAAAAGAAACAGGGAAAACACATGGACAGATGAAGACAAACGAATTCAGCAATGAGGAGTTATGCAATTAGCAAAGAGTAAGGGGGAAACATAAATCATTCAGTGTTGCAATCATGAAAACCAGCAAAATTAATTTAAGAGGTGATACTGATAGAGTGATAATTAATTGTATTGTATACACTTGGCAAAGAACTCAATGCTACACAGAGCACTGCAAGCGCAGATAAGGCAGCATACACTGGAACAGACATTTGTAAATAAAGTCTGGCTTCTTGTCTCGTTTTGCAGTGCTTTGCTGTGCCACTGCTTCACACCCCTCTTGCCGTCTGCCTGCCCATGGCTCCGGGACCGCGCCTGCCCAGCCGAGGCGTCTCAGGTACGTCTCACCAGGAGTCTGCCATCGCGAAGGCTGTGCAGAGCTGGATGGCCTCTCTCTACCAATTTTTGCTTGCTTACAGTGAAAGCTGTTATTCACGGACGTCTCGTACTCAGGTCAACATGACTCCTATCTTCTGCTGACCAGTTGCTTTAGCAGTACTTCTGTGATTAAGCTCTGCAGCTGCAAGCAGCACCAGTGACGCCAAGAAATCCACTGCAGTGAGCTACAACTCCTATACAGGCACAAAATGTGTCCTGAAGCAATTAGGGGCATAAAAACCAGACAAAGGCAAGGAATGCTGATCTGATCTGATTTACTCTATACACTTTTAAACAGGGTATTTATCCATCAAGATCTACATTCACAAGCAAGCAATAAAATTATTTCGTTATCTGTAAAGCATAGGTGCTGCAAGTGGAATCAGAGCTTCTGAATTTTCAAGTTACTCACATAATACAAGAACCTTTCCAACTGTGTAACTTCTAGCTACCGATGCTCAGCATTTCCCACTTAAACGAACTGAGAGTGTGAAACTCAAATG